CGATCGTCTTTATCTATCATTTTATGGTTGCTTTAGCAAGCGCTCCACGTAGTGGACCAACCATGAAAATTATAGAAATGTTGCCCCAGGAACTCGTAAGTGCTTAAACTTGTCCTTGTTTAAACCCTTTTTGCTGGTGGTTTTACGACTGACCAATCACTGAAGTTTTTAGATGTATAATTTGGCACAAATTGACCCAAAGTCGTTCAACCTGGATCTGTATTTGCATTTGATTGATCTCGCAAACGATTCTTCAGTGAAAAGTGCCTTACGTTTCACTTGCCTTCTCAGAAAGTTAGGAGGCATTTAAAAATTATTTGTTGTTAGAGAGGTAGTGCAATTATTTTCAAAGTTCCCTCTTTATCTGATCTCTTTTCTTTTCACTTTATTTCAGAAAAATCTAGTTAGAAAATATTGGTTTTGCTTTCTCTCAGATCTTTATTTCTTTATTTTGAGAATGATATTTATTCACATACTAACTTATTTTCCTCGCCTGTAAATATTTTAACTACCAGTTGCGAGAAGTTCATATTCACAGTTTCGTAAGTTTTGCACGTTTAGGAGAATAGTTTTAGCTTCGTTTATATACCGTATCCGGACAAATGTTCTACTAATCGCAAAAACCAATGGCAAAGCTTTATAAGAATAGCATGTGGAATTGGTACAAGAAGAAAAAAGGATTTGGAAACTTGCCAAAAAGTAGAGGAGTCAAACTCTAAGAAGTGAACTACATTGAGGAAGAAAAAATGATGTGATTTAAATTAAGCTTTGAGTGGGTTCAAAACATTTCTTCACATTCTGGATAAAGAGACTGTAATTCTTCAAAGTGGTAAGAAGAGGAAAAGATCGGGATCGAGGTTTCCAAAATCTGCTGAACTGGTAAAATCGAACAAGCTTAGCACAAGCTGACGAAAAACTTTTTGAAATTTTCAAATGCATTCATTTAAAAACCAAAGTAAACTAGCGATAAGATCGAGCTGAAAACTGGCTTTTTTCCTTTTAACAAAGCTCCCTTCTTTCAGTTATTCTTTCACTTTACACCAAGTTCTGGTCGCTAACTTTGCTATGGAAGGCAACCTTCCGGGGTGACAAAAGCAAAATAAATTAGATTAAAGCTTTTATGATACCCTGGACTACAACAAAAATAAAAAAAGACAAAGCAGTCAAACTTGAGATTTGATATTGTACTTAACACCAACATCTACTTTCCAGTTTTCATAGCTAAAAACTAAGAGTGTTATTCTCCATGTTGTTCAGGTCCTCTGTTTACCAGATTTTGATTTGTAAACTGTTATACTGCTGCCATTACAAATGGCCCGATTTCTCAATTCTAATGAGCATTCAACCGCAGATAGTATAACATAACTTGCTTTCATTTTAATAAATTTCTTATAACATCCCGCTACCTGTGCCATTTGATTCACTTTGTAGTCTTTCATGATATGTAAATTTTATTAATAAGGCGTGCATATTTTAGATATTAGTCACTTTAATGGGTGTGTCAAGCTGATCATTCATCTGTTGGCGGTATG